CCGTAGGAGTTATGCAGATATTTATGCAGTTTATTTTGCAAAAAAAAAGAGATGTTTGGGTACATGACATTAACTTGATCCGCAGGCAACAAGGAGAGTTTCATAAATTGTACCCAGAACTTCGCAGAGATGAGAATCGTTTCTATACATATTTTAGAATGAATTCTGAAAGTTTCGGTAATAATTTTAGATCGGATAAAATCGCCATCGCAAAACAAAAAACTTTGGGTGGAACAGTTCGAAAAATATATCATATTTTTTTACAATTTCAATAAATTTTTCTATATCCATTTTTACTAGCGTCGACGCGGCTAGTGATAAAAGTAAACTGTTGCCGTCCGAACACTGCATGTCGTGACAAGTATGTGCTGCTGCACTTGTTTGTTTCAGACGTGAGTCGAATCGCGTAGGTTTGTTTTCTGTTTAATTTTGTACAACTGTATCGCCCGGCGAAGCGATCCATATTGGACCGCTGCGACCGATCGCGCGCTATGTGAGACAAGGATAATGCAATACTGTGCAATGCAAGTAGATCGCCCGTCGCCCTCGGTCAGATATCGCTACCCGCCGCGATAGATCGCATTCTGTGTGTATACGTTCCAAAATTGAAAATTGATGCAATATAGTATTAATCAAACTATTTCTAAATTCTCTTTAATAATCTATTCCAGAAAGAGCATATTGCAGATTGAATACAATAAAATGACTGTGTTAATAATATAAAGACTGTGAGGGTTGATTTTCTGATCTAAAGGTCTTCATTCATTTATAGGTCCTCACACAACTAGACACTATCTCTACAGATATATTTGTGATAAACAGATCCAATATCAATTGTATTTCTATTTTTTAAGATGAAAATAAAATTTTTATCACTTTTGTGCAAAGTTGTTCTGCACTATTTTCCTACTGAACAACTCATCTGTAATTGTCATTGTGTTTACACACTTTTTTTAAATAGTTCCATCTCTTGTTAAATGTAAACTTTAAGTACATATTGTATGACACAAATTCTATAAGTCATCCTATACATACTAAAAAATTATATATTCCATGCCATCCAATTGTTTTTTATTGATTATTTCTTGTTACATATGTCATGCAATCCAAAGTGGTTAAATTGGTATTAGGAAACTATTTAATACATGAAAAATTAATACGGAGGTTGATCTCCATTTGATATAGAGCTGTTTTTCGATTTTCTAATCATTTAATATAGAGCTTTTGTCCAATTTTTAGTCATTTGGTTTTTACCTTTTATGCTACTAATAAACAGTTTATGTGTGGTTACTTTTATAGGTAATATATTTTGTGTACTTAGCAATTCTGTCGATAAGAAACCATCTTTCTTAATTGGTATAATTTCCAACTATATTTCTTTTTAATGTTTTATTATTTATTTGACATACATTGACATTTCATGTATTTAAAATAATTCTTTCTCTCCTCATCATCATCACAGCATGTAGCGTTCACTTCTGAACATAGGCCTTCCAATTTTCTCCATTGCCCCAGATCTTTCTGCCTTGCAAATCCAGTTTGTTGTAACCTTTATTATATCATCCGTTCACCGTATAGGTTGTATTCCCTCTATATTCCTGAAATATAAGACGCCACTCCATTATGCAATATAGTCGATCTAGTGTTATTAATTCTCGCCACATCTCCAGCCTTCTTTTCTGTTTTTATAAGGGGGTGGTCAAAGTGTTTGAGACATACCTCGGTCCTAGAAGGTGGGCAAAACTGTTAGCAAGCCTCAGTTACGCAGGATTTCTCCAGCGTGGCCACGATGATGTCTGAGACCGCACGCACGGGTTGTTCGGAAACTATCGCCGTTAATACCTGAGGCCTGTCTGCTAAAAAAACACCCTCCTCGACCTTGAATTACCGGCCATACTGTTCTGATTGGGACTCAACGTCGAGACAGCATTCACCCGATCTCTTTCTGAAACAAAATTCTCACACATTGTCGTATTTTCTCACTACGACTAAATCTTTCTCTCCCTCTGTCCCTCCCGGTTCATGTTCAATCTCGCCACCTCTAATTCTGCCTTTCTCGCTACGACTAAATGCTTCTCTCCATATGTTCATCCCTGTTCATGTTCAATCTCGTCACCACTCATTATATTCTTGCTTGCTTCTGGCCACCCTGTCTCCCTTCGGTTCGCCTTTCTTTTTGTTTCTTCCAACGTTCTCCACACGTTTCTTCGTATTGTAGATGTGGCACATGCTTCTTTTTGAAGGTCCAAGTTCCCTACGTGAATCTTGAACTGGCACAGGTACAATTCTGTGAATATTTTTACAGACTGACGTTGGCAAAGTTTTTATTTCAAACGTTGTATAAGTAAGATGTCTTACTAAGGATTTATGCAGTATTAACAAATAAGCACGTCTGTTCATTAGTTTTCCGTTCGATTAAGATATCGAGTATTGTTCTAAAGCTATTTTCTTGCGGCATTTTTAAATTAATTACTATTTTATTGGGAATAAGCCACAATTGAAGGTTAAAGTAAGTTTATTGACGTTTAAATTTCCACTTCGGAAATCGTTCTCATGATATAAACAATAAATATCGAATATATAAAAAAAATACAAATATCGAGTAGTATGGCAGTATATGACATATGCATTTATACTGGCCATGTTCAATATGCCATATTGAACATGGCCAATTTAGTTTTTCTCGAGTTGCTCATATTATTACACATTTGGACGAATGTCGACGACATCTTCAGTTGAATTATAGGCTTCAATATCTAAGGTTTTCTGGATGATTGTAAAATGTTATTTTGATAATAGATATTAGAAGCAGTATTTACTTGATTTATAGGACGCCAGAATTTTTTCTTTATCAAAACAAATTTTCGATGGACCAATAGGAGGGTTACGTAAATCCAATATTTCTGGTGGAATTTCCTTCTTGTTAGATCTAATGGTGCCAACCATATTGGATTTATATGGATTCTTTAATAAATCATCTGCTAGCTTTACTGACGTAAACCAGTTATTAATTGTAATATTCCGATTAGAGTTCTGGACAGTTTTGGCTAAAGTTTTTACAAAGTGTTCTCCTAGTGGAAGGACATTAGTTTGGGTTCTTTTACCACAATATGGAGCAGTATCTATCATATATTTGCTTTTAACATCACGTACCATAACAATTTTTAGTCCGTCCTTTGAAAGTTTGTTTGTACAATTATCAGATAACTGCCGGGTTTGTAATGAAGTACTGAAGATTACAGTACTGAACAAACTGGTCCCATATTTCAGGAATGGCTGCAAACGCATCTACTTCATTGCGGGTATCACATGTATTTTTTCATCGAATATTAGACAATTTATGAAAAATTTAAATCTGGTCTCATATATTGCAGCTTTATAGTATGACCCACAAAGGTTTTCGTCAAATAAATTGGAGAATTGCAAATTATTATCTTTCATTGTTGCTTAGAAATATAAGAGACCAATCAGTGATTTTATCTCTGTCAAATTTGTCTGAGAAATGTTGGCTTTAGATTCTTTATACTTCGAATATTTGATATTTGTTTGGGCGTTTATATGTGCAACGATATTGGCAATAATTGAGTCGGTTATAAACATACTAAATGCATCTAGAGGTGAAATAGCTGCTTTTGCTTGATCTTTCTGACCGGTCATTATGTGAATTATATTTCTCTGTGGTGTTCTACCTGACATCTTTTGAACAAAAGTTGTCCAACGATGGCCATCTTTGCCTTTTAGTCCTGCTTTAGATATGCGTCTGTCTCTTTCTGATAAATCATCTTTGCCTCCGTATTTCTGCTACTTCTGCAACTTCATTTGTAAATAGCGGAGTATCCTCTTGTTTCTCAGAAACATGAATTGTATCCACTTCTTGTTCATATTCTTTTTTGTTATAGTATTAGTTGTTATCAACAGGCCCTCGAAGACACTTCGTCTCAGGACCATTTTACTTATGTAGGGTCATACGTCGCCATGTTACCAATTCCAACGATAACTTAAACATCATAATTTGTAACCACATATAATGTAAAGCAACTGTAAATTTATATCATTTAAAGGGTTTTGACCCATATATTTTGGTGGCTCATAGCATGTATACCTCGTTTACACTGATGATGGATTTAACAACAACCGAAAACGTTTTGTAATATATTTGTGATAGCCCGTTTGGGCATTTTATTATATACCTTTTATAAAGGATTTGAAATAAATTTTTTTGTTATACTTTAATTTTTTTCTTCAATACAATGTCAGAACTTTTTTTCTTTGTAAATCATCTTTTTTACTATGCCCAGTTTCATCAAAACTGCCATGTGACGGTAAATATGCAAATTCAGATTTTTCAAAGTTTGCAAATTGTTCACTTTCACTTACACTGTCATCACTTGCATTGTTTTCCCTATTTTCAAGCTTCCCTTGATGATTTTTTTCTATTTCTCTGTCTGACAATGGTTTATTTCATTTCCAATGTTCCGCCATTATTATGTTTTTTTTTTATAGTTTAATGTGTCTCTTTTTGCACACAAAACACATTGAATGTAACCCCAGTAATATTTACAACGATCAGATTTCAAAATCACCTTACGCGACGAATTATTCAAAAACTACAATATTATACCGACAGGCCGCTGGTTTGAATTAAACTAACCGACCGCTAAACCCTTTCCCTAAGACACGTCCTTAAATTTTACATGGTTACCTTTATAAGATTAGTGGAGATCATCTCAGAAATTAAAAATGCCGAAATGTAAAAAGAGAAAGACTAGTAGATTTCTGCTATTTTGTTAACCTTAATTGTAGCCTTTCTGAATTATCTTCAGTTTCTTCTACTAATTCCTTATAAGTAATTAACTTTGATTCATATTTTGCTATTCCGATTTAGACCTATATGTTTTTCATTTCCAAATGTTAATTTTTTAAAAGCAGAGTATAAATCAAATCTGTCACGAATATCAACTAAATTATAAATATTTCATTAATTTCACTTCATTTCACAGTTTTCACACCTCTAAGAAGAATGGCTTCAGCAATAATTCCACAAGTAAAAGATGTAGATATCGATCCGTCAGGAGTATTCAAATACATCCTTATAAAACTCAGCAGCCAGACCCCCGATGGAAAACTCGATGATAAGCTCATTGTTCGTGGGTATGCTGATTGTCCTTTCCACGCTGATATTAACGATCAAGTTACTTCTGATCTGCAGAAACTGAAATCGAGTAAGATAATAAACGATTGGAGAACCAAGGTGTTGGGTGGAGGACGAATTCAGCACGATCCTGATGTGAAGAAGATATTGGTATACGGATATTCTCAAGGTTATGGAAAAGCTGATCATCAGTTAACAGTGGATATTTTAAAAACTGCTTATCCTGATTATAATATTACTTATTCCGATGAAGGATACTAGGAATTACGTTTAATTTAGCTGACATTTGAATTATAATAAATATTTAATTTGTATTTTAATGTGGCATTGAACTGAATTATATAAGTTTAAAAAGATATCTTCATTTTATTACAAACATATCCGATAAAAAGAAGAAAAAAATATAAATTAAAGAAGAAATAGCACAATAAGCAATAAATAAAACTCAGCCACATTTGCCATTAAATTATCATTGGCATCTATATGTTTATATATTCGACTTTCTATAATATAGTCTGTTAATATAGGTCAAGGTCTCATATTTATCTACACTGTTTAGATCATTAGGTCTTCTGACTCTTTTTAATTTCCAAGGTATCTAACTCATTGCTTGTCCGCTGTCCTGATGTTATGGCTTGCCAATATCCAATTAGGCCAGGGAAATAAGCAAAAAAAGTACCCTGTTTTTGACACTCGTCCGACCAGGCAAACGACAGTTGTTTTGAGTAGTGTGGACCTCTGTAACAAAAACCTATATGTTTCCTGCAGTCGATTTTTTGGACTAAATTAGTTATTAACAAATTAAGTTCAAAAAACGGAAAATTTTTGCTTTTTTCGTCTATCAGCAAAAAGTGAAGCAATTTAAACAAATTTTAGAAGAAAGGAAACTTTTAAGTTATATAAAAACCTTCAAAATGGCGTTCTCAAAATGTTTCTATCCTTATTTGTTGTTTAAAAAGTTGCAAAATAAGTCAAAAATTTCGGTTTTTTATAAATGTTAATAACTTTTTTGAAAATAAACTTATAATATTTATATTTTATGGAATGATGTGTCTTGTAGTGCTTAAAATAGGGTTAAGATTTCAAAGTGATCGGTCCAATAGTTTAAAAGTTATTTTATTTGTTTATCCCAAATTAACATTTTTTGCAACAATATAAGTCAGAAATTTATACAGTTTTAGAAATTGTAAGGGTTGTTTCTGGTAGAAGAAGACTTGTTTTATTATTTACATTAAAAAAAATTAGGAAAATTAATTTTAAATATTGCAAAATAATTTTGCAAAAAAATGTCGATTTTTTTGCTTATAAACAATTAGAATAACTTTTTAACCATTGACTGTAAAAACAATATTTTTAGATATTTAGAAAGCTTGAATTTTTTCACAAATTTAAATAAAAAAAAGTTTGTCCTAAACTAATTTGGTACAAAGTTAGCCTCTTTTTTTATTTAATTTATAGCACCTTTGTTTATAATAATTAAGAAATCTAATTAGCGCTATTTATAAGAATATACATTATAGTTTTAAAGTACTAAATTTTAAAATTATTGCCCTTTAATGGAATCCTCCACAAAGCTTCAAAATGTATGTAAAATCGGTCGGCTTTGAAACTCTCGGAGCTGAAGGGAGGGGGAAGGCGCTGTTAACTATATCTCTGTTCCTTTTTTATGTATTTCAACGTTTCTTTTTGAACTTGTATGTACTTTTTGCGTACATTACGAATATGCATTATTTCAATAAATAAATTGTCAAATAAACCACCTAATTTGTTTAAAAACAATTTTTTTAAATTTTTTTAGTATTATTTAAGTTAAGTTTGAATGTAAAACAGAAGTACTTTGGGGAATAAGCCACAGTTTAAGTTTATAATAAGTTTAATTTTGACGTTTCGATTTCTACTTCGGAAATCTTTCTCAGAATACAGAACATTAACAAATTAATCAAATTTTGTTTTTGGTTACTTGTTAGAAAATTTGGTTTGGAAATTTTTTCTGACAACTTTTCTGGGTGATTGATTAGGGTAAAGAAGCTCAGTAGATCGGTTTTAGTAAAAATTACAAAAAAAGTTATTGACAAAACTTGTAGACAGCTTTAAACTCGACATTTTAAAATTGGTTACAATCTTACAGGGTGTTCTATAAGATGGTTGGCAGACCAAACTTATGTTTTTTAAATGAAACACCCTGTATTTTATTTTAACTTTAAAATCTACTTCACTTCTACATCACAACAATGTAAAGTTTTATTATGTTATACCGGGTATTTAAAAAGATATAACCAATATTACCTGAAAATCGTATCAAGTTTAACTCCATGTATCATTAAAAAGGAGTATAGGACCATTGATCTATTGCAAACATAGTTTTTTAATAATTGGTAAAAATTATAAAACATATTCGTTTTCATAATATTCGTTAAATCAAATACATGGTAAGTCAAAATGCAAGTACATTATTTTCTTGGTAATTTTAAATAGAACACCCTGTATTTTATATCACTATCGAAAAGTACTAAGTATTGGGGTACATCGTAAATTAGCAACAATTATTATTTAGCAATTCAATAATTTATTCAATTTAAATTAGCAATAATGAATTTTACTACTAATGAAATGATAGATAAATATGATCTGGATATTGGGGTAATCCAATAAAAATTCATTACTATCAGCTAGAATTTATCATGAACGGTTTCCAGATAGGCGGCAACCTAGACAAGATACATTTGAAAAATTGAAAGATCGATTTAACTGCACTGGTTCAGTGAATTCTGAAAAACATGAACGAAAAAAAAAAACTAGTGTGACAGAGGAAAACGAAATGAGTGTGTTGATGGCAGTTACAGAAAACCTACTCACAAGTGAATAGTATTTTGTGAATGGGCCTTAAAAAAAATAAATGAACAGAGATTTTTTTGATTATATCATATTTGGTGATGAAGCTGCATTCCACTGAAACGGTTCTGTTAATAGGCATAAATAACATTCACTACTATTCAACACGCAATCCATACCAAATAGTAACACATAGTCAAACAAGAAAATCTTTAAATGTGTGGGGAAGTATCGTAGGTAACCATATTTGTTTAAATATAACGTAAATGATAAGATTTATTTAGATTTTATCGTACATCAGTTACCGATATTATTAGAAGAGGTTCCACTTAATATACGTGAACAAATGTGGTTTCTACATGGAGGTGCTTCTGCGTACCACAACGAATTAGTACGTGGTGAACTTAATGATCAGTTTGGTGAAAGATGGATCTTAAGGGATGGCCCAAGGTCACCAGAATTCAATAAAGTGGACTCTTTTTTTGGGGTTACATTAAGCACGAAGTATATATAATACCTTCAACAACAAGGGATATAAAAAATAGAATCCGAATTGCATTTTAAAATATTTCTTTACAAATGCTTAGTAATGTAAGTAACTCTTTCAATGACCGTTTTCAAGTATACATAGATGTTTTTTGAGGTCATTTTGAACACCTTACTTAAGTATGATTAGTTAAAATTACAGTGGTTTTTTATTTTTTTATGTGTTGTTATTTTTTTTATTTTCTGTCGGGTATTTTTTATAAATTTTATTTGAAACAAATTGTTTTCTTTTCTGTGTCGTTATCTCGTTACTGAATTAAAAAACAATAATGTCAAACTGTCAGTTTCTGACAAATCAATCATGGCCAAATCCCAATAATTATTGGTAAAAGTTCAAACATCTACCAAATTAATACTTATCTAGAAAATTGATAACTTTGGGTACAGGGAGTATTCCATAAAATGTAAAGTACGATATTAGTACTTTTCGATAGTGACTTAAAATACAGGGTGTTCTATTTAAAATTATCAAGAAAATAATGTACTCGCATTTTGACTCTGTATTTGATTTAACGAATATTATGAAAACGAGTATGTTTTATAATTTTTAACAATTATTAAAAAACTATGGTTGCAATAAATCAATGGTCCTATACTCCTTTTTAATGATACAGGGAGTTAAACTTGATACGATTTTCAGGTAATATTGGTTATAACTTTTTAAATATCCGGTTCTTCTTAGTCGTTAACCTGATGCAGGTATCGTGATATCATGAAGCTGTTAGGTAATTTTTCCAATGTTCCTCCACGTTTTTCTATCTTCTGCCAATCTAGCACATTCTGACAATGGAGCGCCAATGGTAGCAACAATATGGTCCGTGTATCGTGTAGGAGATCTACCTCTACTTCTTTTGCCTTCTACTTTTCCCTGGATGGTAAGTTTTTCAAGACCATTTCTTCGAAGCACATGTCCAAAATAGCTTATTATCTGTTCTGATATTTGTGTTCTTAGTCTTTTCTTTATGTTTAGCTGGACCAGTATGGATTCATTTGTTCTTCGGGCCACCCATGGTATTCTCAGCATTCGTCTCCAGCAGTACATCTCAAATACATCTATGTTCTTTTTGTCTTTCTCAGTAAGGGTCCAGCATTCCGATGCATAAGTAAAAACTGGAAAAACTAGACTTCTTACTAGTCTCATTTTTGTATCGGTAGTAATTTCATGGCTTTTCCAAATTTTTGTTAATTTTGCCATAGCGCTTTTTGCGATTGCTGACCGCCGCTTTATTTCTTCAGTACAGCCTCCTTTGTTGGTTATTAATGAGCCCAGATACACAAATTTATCTACAACAGCGATATTGTTTATCCTAACCAGATGATTTTGATTGTTGTTAGCTCTGTCAATTATCATGATTCTCGTTTTATCCCTGTTTATTTTAAGGCCCATCGATAAGGTTACGTCTTCTATCCGTTGTAGCAGGTGAATCAATTCAGTTTCAGAACTAGCGAGGATAGTAGTATCATCTGCATATCTCAAGTTGCAAATCTTCTTCCCGCCAATGGTGATGCCACCGTTCCAGTCCTCAGTAGCTTTCCGCATTATCCATTCACCATAGATGTTAAATAAAATTGGGCTTAGTATGCAGCCTTGTCTCACGCCCTTTGTGACCCTGAAACTGTCAGTTAGTTCCCCATTTATTCTAACTCTGGCATAATTGTTATTGTACAGGCTTTTAATTAGCAGTATCAGATGATTAGGGACTCCCATTTCAGACAAAACCTGCCACATTTTACTCCAGTTGACCAAATCGAAAGCTTTACTATAATCTATGAAGCACAAATATGTTGTGATGTTGAATTCTCTGGATTTTTCTACAATCTGCCGTACGTTTAAAATTTGTTCTCTAGTACCACGTCCTGGGACGAAACCTGCTTGTTCCTCCGCAATGTTAGGTAGTAAAAAGGGCTTTATCCTCTCGAGAATTATGTGTAAGAGTATCTTACTGCAATGCGCAATTAGAGCAATTGTGCGATAGTT